ATTGCTTATTTTTCGGTGTAAGCTAATCATCATCGTTTGTGTAAATAATGATCCGAGTATTTTATTCTGGAATACTTAAGGTTTTCTAGTATGATGACCAATAATTCATCTTTCAAACTCTAATTTTAATGAAGATCGTCTTAACTTTCTGAAAATCTTCCACTAATAACTATCAATTATTTATTAATGATGTAGAAAGTGTTTCCTTCAAATCCCAACTTTTTATATCAGATTATTGATCCGTAACCTTCAATCTTATTCTGTGATATTTTCCATATTTTATGCTTAATCTATCTAATTTAACTTCTTCGTTTAAACAAAATTACTTCATGATTTACATACATTTAATAAAATAATTTTGACTGAGTCCAAAATCTAACGAAACATTAAATCGAATTACTAAGTTTGATTATGATTAAAAATTTATATTAAATGTCTATGACTGTAAATTAGATTTGATTTAAATATTGTTAGTTTTATATTTCTTATATAAATCACGCAAACTTTTGTTTTTAAACATAATTTCTAAATATCATTTTGTTTACAACTTAAATGGACTTTGAATATTTCTAACCAGTAAAATTTGTTATTTAGAAATGCAGGTTGTATGTCTGAAAAAAATATTAGAAAAAAAAGTACTTTTATCAGTATTAGGGTTGTGGTGATTAATAAGTTTTTGATTGAGATCATGAACCGATTGATGTTAGACCACCGTTGGAAACTTGGAAGCACTGGACGGCCGTTTCGTCCTATTGTGGAACTCCTCAGCAGTGCACTGCTTAATAATCTTCACAAACCTAATACTGATAATTACCATGTGCTCACTAGTGACTAGCTTCGTGAGGGAATTCTCGAAGTTCTAGTGAGAAGCTGTGACCAGTGGAGCTAATCCGTGTCGAGTAGAGACAGGTAACCACCTCAGAACAGTCGAAGATGGTCGCACAACTTTGTGGATTGGTTGATGTTAGACACTAACACCATTGGAAGCCTGATCAATGATTCAGTAGGTTAAGGATTCTCGAGCAAAATTGAAGACCCTGAGTTCGGATCCGGAGATTGGGATCGTGGATGCACACTGCTGAGAAGTCCCACAAAATGACGAGTCGGCCGTCCAGTGCTTCCAACGGTGGTCTAACATCAATCTGTTCATGATCTTAATCAGAAAGGTACTTTTAATCAGTAGGAATAAGTGGATTGATTGATGAAAGCGCTAATAGAATGCATAATTTTTACTCTGATATTGACAATTATCGTGATAAGTTATACTGAATGACTTTATTTGAAAATGGCCACTACAACAACTGGGTATTTTTTCTTTATCATGTATAAAAATACTTATTGGTGAATTAAAATAAATTTTAATACAATAATAAGATTTTACAGAAAAAGTTATTTAAAAACGGGTAATTTTGAAGTTTTACATTATGGAATAATTTTAATTAGACAGGAACCAATTAAATTAATAACCAGGAAGTAATGTAGAATTGTTTTGTCCTAGTAAATGACTGCTCAGTAGTGCGCATACATGATCACAACTGGACTATAGTGAAATATCTTCAGGTCTCATAGAGAGCACTAAACATTTAGACCACTGAATTATCACCGAAATGATTGACACTGCTAATCTTAGTTCACAATTTGATGTATCCATAAACTGGTGATAAGTGTCTCATGTCCAACATAATAAATAACAATTAACCAGGATAACGCTATTAAGTTCGGGTGTAAATTGAATTACAGAATATTTTTTTGATAAGTTGACCATCTGAGTAATCAACCAAATAAATAGTTTCTCCAGTTGCACTGAAATTAGAGACACTCGCTTTTGAGTAAAATTAATTATTTAGTAAAAGAAAATTTTTAGCTTACTAGCTTTACTGTTAATTTTAATTTTCAAAAGTTTTTTGTTTCATAATAAAATCCCTTAAACATTCGGAAAATGAGTTAATTTTTCATAAAATAGATGGACTTTGACTAACAGTAGAATTCAGTACTTGCGTTTCGTTTTATTTAAGGCTCATCAGATAGATATAGCTGCACCCCAGAATTGGTTGTAAGCTATGGGTTTTTCGATAATTTTCTAAATACTAACTGTCTTTCAATGGATAGGGCTAATTTTTTATTATAACACATTCGTGCTTAATGATGGCAGTAGTCTATGGAATAAAACGTAATAAAATCAACTCCAGTCCATTTTTGAGATGAAAGATTAAATATATACAACAATATGTATAATCTTTTATAGTAGTCGTATATGTTAATTAAAATGAAGTCACAAGTTTTACTTACGAAGTAGCTAATCCACTTGATATGAACTACCATCATTTCACAAAATATGTGTACGAAGATTTATGACCATTTTATCAGTGAATAATAAGGTGAGCTTTTCCTTCCGTGGATTCCATGCTGACATTAAATAAAAACTCAATAAATTGTTACAAATAGCTAAATAAATTGTATAACTGACCGTGCTGTTCAAACAAAATATATCCAAGTGAAAATAATACAATAAATTACTCTTATTGAAAGTAATCTGTATGGTAATTCTTGCTTAGTTTGTGGGGTTTTTTTTAAATCAGAAAATTAACAAAATTTTAAATGACTTAGTTTTTGAAATAACTGATTCTCATTTAGTTATATATTAGTCACTATCATGACATGGTAACATTAGGTTCAGTAGATGTGATTCTAAAGTTTATATCATAACAACATTCATGCATCAGTTTTACTGAAAATAACTGATGTAATTGTGTTCCAAGTTGAAATATCTTAGTACGTCATAGTGCTATAATCCTTTTAAAAGCTAATACAACATCATTTTCACCGTTCTGTCTAATAATATATCGTTTTCTTTTAATTCACACTATGAATATCATGTAAAATATCTTTATATTTAAGTTTATAAACGTTATTATCTTTGAATTAGTGTTTATTAGATGAATATAACAACCTCCTGTAAATTATGTTCAATGTTTACAGTATATGAATAGATTCGAAAGCCATGAAGAATTTTTAAGATGTACGATTCAACCAGTTTTTACTTTGTGTACAAGATAGATTTCTTACATCGAGTTATTGATATTTTCATATCGATTATTTTGAATAATCACCAAGCAAGATTTATGAAAAATACATTTCAATCCATAAAGGAAATGTCTAACATTTAACTGATATTCCGTTTTTATAGTCGAATATATTTTTTTTTAATCGTTGACATAGGTTGTTTATACCAGTTTCCTTTGGACAAGAAATTAATCGTTAGTTTTTTTTTCTAGTTATGAGTCAGTGCTTTCATGTCAGAACAATCCTAAGTGATCCCTCCTTATGAAACTATAATTGATAAATATACTGGAAGTTAATGTTTATTTAAATATTAAAACAATAAATTTTCAAAAAATTTTCCTATTCGTATATTTAAAAAGAACTTGAATAGTTATTGAGGCAGAATAATATAAATTCAATTATTCTATGGGCTTTTGTTCCGCTGCTTATGACAATCTGCTCATTAGTGTTAATCATCTATCATTGAACTGTGCAAATCTTGCAATAAACGTTACTTTTAGAGATTTATTTAAAGTAAATAATTTTGGATCCTGGTTGTTCGTACTCACGAATTATTATGAAAGATTACAATTTATCATGATGTTATACATTAAAGATCCCCAACAGAGATTATGCACTCGTCAGCATATTTTCTTCCCTATCTACTCTTAAAAAAATGTGAGAGACGAATATATTAGAATTTACTCATTTATTATTTGATGGAGGTAAATTATATTGTTGAAGCAACTGAAATGATGGTAAATTTTCTCAATGAAAGATGAGTGTAAAATAATAGTTATTGGAAAAATTTCTAAAACATATGTTTACAAATAATTACAATATTAATTTATGTTAAAGAGAAATTTATTTCATTATTGTACAACGATATTGGAAATTTCTAACTGAAGCGATATTTCACATTTGATTCATCACTGGGTGATGATCAATGCCTTGTGTGTCAAGTCCTTTTTGGTGCAGATCGAATGCTATCGACCAAGTCTAGATGACTCGATATTGCGTGCACTATGTTGAGATAAGAAGGCGATTTGAGGTAGTCAACAGGAAACCCTGGACCAGAGTTCAAGAGTCGAATCCGTCAGTGTTATAACTTGTCGTCTGAATGTTACTTGTTATATCTGGTCGTCGCTGATTGTTGTGTCGGAAACGCTTATCACTTGTGCTAGGGACGAGGAACCTCTGCAATTCCTAGAACGCGAAAGTAAGGACAGAAGGTTGATATAAGTAAAGATTTATTAACCCATAAACACAACGACGACGACCCTAGTCGTAAGTATACTCATTTATATATTGATTGTACACTTATTTTGATTAATAATTAGGATGAAAGTATATATATATATATATAACAAATCACATACTGAGCATACCACTAATTCCCTCAAGATAACAGGTACACCTTGCTGACGAGTGCCAGGTAGCACGAAACCCGGGTCCAGGATTTCCTGTTGACTACCTCCAACCATCATCTTATCTGCAGCGATATTTATAATAATGATGAGAAGAAATTATTGTTGCCATTGTTATTATTGTGATAATAATATGGAACCCTTAAAAGCAGTGTACATACTTCATAAGCAGTGATGGGTGGTTTTAAGGAAAGAAATCCAAAATAAACGTTTCAGCCTATTCAGGACTCATCAGCAAGGTGTTTCTTAATCCCAAAGTTTATGTACACTCCAGGATTTGAACCCAGTGTCATTCGCTTAGAAAAGGAAAAGGAAACGATTGATTATGGTCTTAAACGTCAACGAAACATTCGAACGACCGTTATAAATGAATTAAACTTTACCCTAATGTGTAAGTTAGTGGCTTTCTGGACTTAGTAGCTAAGTAAATAATGCGTAATTCGTAACTTCAGATTGCTTTGAAAAATTTGGTAATATTGATTTTGTAATTCAACGAGCAAGAGGTGTTCATAATAACAGCAAAACACATTATCCATTGTGAAAATATATATATTTATTATCTGTTATATATCCATGACGGTATATCAAAAAACGACATCGAATACGACACAAAAGTTCGTTAATGAAAAAAATTGAAAGAATTATTTTAACATAACAATCAATATGCTTTCAGATATATTTTTCACTTCATTGTTTTTTGTTTGTATCACTACCGCTTGTTCACTGACGTCTATAATGACAAAAGCAAACATCTTGATCACAAACAGTAAAAATATTCACAATAAAAAGATTTTGATTTTGCTATCAATGGTTAATTAGAGTCACATTCATTTCCAACCATTTCTAATGTACGTGAATCCGCAGTGATTTTTAGTTTTTGTTTGCGCACACGATTATGAATAGTTGGAAATGTTTCGATTGGTAAACCTATTCCAGTTGATGAATGTATAGAATTAGCTGGCATTGAATAACTTGTAGTAGAGTGGCTTGTCATTGATGATCGATAGAAGAAGCGAAATATATAACGATGATAGTTTGAGCATGTGGCAATTAATAATAACGGACCTGTTACAGCATTTGACATAGCTAAACACATTGAATAATCAAGTAAAATTTCAGTTACTGGATAGTTAATATGAAATGTTTTTGTCAACAGATTACATACATGGTTCGGTGACCAAGATAAAACAAACAGCGCTGCCATTAACACACATAGTCTTGTGAGACGCTGACGTCTTCTTGTCCATGCTGTTGTATTACGATATCCAGAAAGCATTAATAGCCTTTGTGACTGTTTCAAATGAACTGTGACGACATGTTGACTTAAACATACAACTATCAGTGGTAAAACATATATTGCTACTATTAAAATAACATCATACGCAAGCTGAGCTTCACGAGACCAGGAATCCCTAAAATTGAATAAAAATTAAAACGTATGACATGCTTGTATTTTAAAAATAAATCCCTAGGTTAACAAAAGTAATAAAACTACAATACAATCAATGTAGGTATATTAGACCGCGATAATTAAACATGTGATTATTATAAATAATACATAAACGGCTTGAAGCATTTATTGACAAAATGACGAGCAATGTACAATAAACTTTAAGATGACAAAATCACGGGCAAACACAAAAATAAATTTGATTGAGATCATGAACCGATTGATGATTTGTGGATTGGTTGGTGCTAGACACTAACACCATTGGTCCAGTAGGTTAAGCGTGCGCGCAAAACTTAAGGCCCTGAGTTCGAATCATGTGAGTGGGATCGTGGATGCGTACTGCTGATGAGTCCCAAAATAGGACGAATCGGCCGTCCAGTGCCTTCAGGTTTCCAACAGTGGTCTAACATCAATCGGTTTATTATGCTGAACCAACAACCGGAATATTTTAATGCAGATCCCTTTGTTTTTTTTGGGCGAAATCTATACATGAATTTCCTACTCTCATTCCTTTTTTTATATCAATTATGTAGATAATAATTACAGTTTGTTTTCACGAAATACCCGAAAGAAAATTGTTTTCAATGCCAGAGTTCTGAAATAGTTTTCAGGTTAGCTTTTGAAGAATGTTGACAGAGATATTGAACCTATCCGTTAGTAATTTCGTATAGTCAAAGTATAACCTATTTGAATACTGAAATACAAATTTAGTCATTGATCCATTCAATTTGGATTTTATGTTTTAAAATAATCTTCCAAATTATGGGTACCAATACCAAGGTTTGATTCGATAATTCCGAATAAATTGAGCATTGGGTAGATTGTTATATTTGTAATATGCCAACGAGTAGAAAAATTGGATTCTCGTACGTTTCGTGACTCAGTGTAAGCGACTTCTTCAGGGAATAAATAAACAAATTAAATTAACTCGTTTAAATAATACAAAGGAATAAAGCAAGAATATTAGTTGCGATCAATCAAAAACACGTCTGACCAAGTCAATGTCATGTCATTCCGGTCAAGGTGATTTTTATGATTTATAGTCCCGAAGAACTGTAAAGACTCCAAATTAAATCGGCAATAGGAGTTCACGCCATTTTCAACAACCATCAAATCAATGCAAAAAACATCAAAATAATACAAAAAGGCTTTTCCAATTATAAAGAAAAAAGCTTTCCATGTAATGCTTATTCCTACTGCCCTCAATAGAAAAGAAGGCCTCATTATCCATCAAACTTGGACTAACTATCCAAGCTACCATGTCTAATTCTATTCACATTTCACCCTTTTATTGTACAAACAAATAAAACTCTATCCTTTCTCACCACAAATGTCACATTTATTTCATACCTTAGCATCACACAAATATGCAAATATACACCTTGAGCAGAATGACATGACATTGACTTGGTCAGACGTGTTTTTGATTGATCGCAATTAACATTCTTGCTTTATTCCTTTGTATCATTTAAACGGGTTAATTTAATTTGTTTATTTATTCCCTGAAGAAGTCGCTTACACTGAGTCACGAAACGTCAGAAACTCTAATTTTTCTACTCGTTGGGATGTTACAAATATATTATTTATTTATAACCTTCCACATTATTTCTAAGTGTGAATAATCTGTTTAAATTCATAATAACCGCTTAGATGTAGAATAAATATGTTTATTTAATCTCTTAAATAATTTCAAACAATCAGCTCGGAAGTACTCGATCATGTGACAAAACACATTTTCTAGAACATATTATATACTTTGCCATTATCCTTTACTAAGATTAACTTGGCTCTAAATAAAGTAATGTACGTACAAATATCTGTATTGTATTAATGAAGATAAACCCGAATCTAGGGCAGAAAAGTAGTTGATTTTTCTTGTTTTTTTAATTCAATGATTCTAGTGTTCTTCACAATTATACATTTTTCTTAATGGCTTATTTTATTATTTTTTCCATCTATCATTACTACTCAATTATTTTACCATTATTATACCATTTTGACTATTTTCTATTCTCATTTATAATGACTTCTACTTATCTACTTGAAAAGATTACATTATAGCTTTTTGTTCTGCAGTCATGTTTTTGACAATCATTCATCTATATATCCTATAGTTTCAGTTAATCTATTGTTTCACCTATTAATCTTCACAGATGCCGCTCAAATTATAAATGTACATATTAACAAACATAATGCAGATATCTTCGGAAAAAAGTACATTATATATTGATATGATTATAGTCTTTCGGAAACGAAATTACAGACAAGAACAACTTCTGAATTAAAATGCTATTTGTTTTTATAAAACTTTCTATCTAGAAAATCTATCTTATTACAAAATGCTTTGAGAACACATTTAATATAGTCAGAATGGGTTTCTTGGAGGAGTCCCATACTAGGACGAAACGGCGGTCCAGTGCTTCCAGGTTTTCCATGGTGGTCTAGCTTCAATTGGCTCATGATTTCAACTTATGACATTTAATATAGTTTAAGATATAATGATTTCATTTTTGTTTTGGATAAAGTATTCTTACTTTAATTTCTACAAAAATGTATGAAGGAACCCTTTTACAATTTGGTAACAGATCAAGATATGATATCTTTTCATACTGCAAGTAAATTAAGTGATACTGAACACATATTCATTATGTTATATTTGAAATGTTTAATATCGATCAAAGTAACATGAAAGCATCCTATTAATTTACACCTTATATTTCAATAAAGATGAATTAGTTATTGATCAATGTAAATTTTATTTCGCAACTGTTTAATGTTTGCAATAAACAAAATATTCCCTGTTTTGATTCCCTCTAATTTTCTATTAATTATCATTTTCCTTGACCCTAATTGTTAAAACAAAAAAATGAATTAGAAATGCTATTCTAGATTGACAAAAGCTATTCATATTATTTACATGTATTCAATATGATATACCAAATAAAATGCTCTGAAATATCGCTGAAGGTAATGTTTGTTATTTCTTAAGTAAAATGATAACTGAACTGCCTGAATACACATTCGTAATAAACAAATTGCGTTATGTATTAGTAGTTTGAAAACAACATTAGAGCAGGCAGATAAAACTTGATTATCATTTAATTTTTAAGATGACTTGAAATATATGCTTATGAATACCTAACATATTTTTAATGCACAAGTTACTGTAGGTGTTGGTTGCTGTGCACTTAAAAAAGGTTTTCGTGAACTACACATAACTAATTGTATTTAGTACAAAAACAGCCATATTAATCTTGTCGGTACTGAAAACTCTGGTTAAGTTCATAATTTAAAAACTGAAAAGTCTGAGTCTTCAATTTTTGATAATATTCCCTTTAAAATTTATCATTTATTCTGTCAGGAAATACAATAAGTATAACGACTTAATTTTATGAGCTTTTTACAGTTATGTGTATTTTTAATTGAGATCATGAATCGATCAATGTTATACCACCATTGAAAACCTCGAAGCACTGGACGACCGTTTCGTCCTATTATGGAACTCCTAAGTAGTGTACTTTTGATTGAATAAACTAATGCGAACTACCAATAATGTACGTAATACATATAATTTACGTGAAGAAGTAACATGAAACATTTTGTTAAATTCTAGTACTTTCAAAATTTGCATTTACTACAACTTTACATATCACAGATAATGTCATATGAAAAACATAATCATAATTTATGCAACATTAAACTGTGTGGGCAATAATTTCAGATGTAGAATAAATACAGCGAGTATAAAGCGTAAATTGAAAGTTATTAATAAATAAATTTAGAAACAGGCTCTGATTTTTAAATTCACCATATGTAAAGTACTTTTGTTTATAAGAAAATTTAGAATGTAGTCTTGTAATGTATGCTACTGATCTCGATAAATATAAGTAGTATTTATCATCAATCAAAGTGAAATGCTTGGAGGCAAAAGGTTAAGAAGATCAAAGAAAAGAGAACGAGAACAAAGAATAATTGGTGTGGAATCGAAAGAACAAAAAAGTTCGAGATGATTGATTGAGATTTTGCAAATGAAGTATTTACTGTATAACTGTCAGATTTTACTAAGATGTTCTATAACACATACAATTGTACCCAATTATGTTCTCGTTCACTACAGTCTTACCTAGTTAATTAACATTTACCCAGGTAGATTATCGACAATAAATGTTATGAAGTACAAAAACTATCATGTTTTTAGCTAGTTAATTTTGTAAATGCGTTATCATTTTTTTCTCTCTATCCTTTTTACAAGTTGAGCTATATGATACTAAAAGAAAACAGTTTAATGTACACATAAATCTACACAGTGGAAATTGTCAAAGTCACAAAAACTATTTTCGCTTATTCGTTAATAAAGATTCCCTGATATGAATGAAAGTGATTATTGTTATATTCACTAATAATACATATCCACACTTAAGTGACAATAGATGCCAAATCTAATGAACGAGCTAAATGGAAAATCATTTAGAAATCATTAACATTAAGTATAAAACTTGTTAAAGTTTATTTGATTGATTAATATTTTTGATACTGTCATTCTTGTATCCCTGGTTGGTCTTATCTGTTCTTTTTAACTGTTAATATAAATTACTGATTCGAAACGATTGCTACCTAAATAAGTATCATGAATTAGCCTAAGGTTATAATTCTGGTATGTAAAACGAACCAATTTCTGTATAAAAATACCTTAAGGTGTTTAATATAGTCTGTTTTAAATAAGTTAAGAAGTGATAAGACAAACAATAGACACTTGATTTTTTTATTCGTGATAATACCACAGCCTGTTTTTAGAACAGTAACCATAAATAAGTAGAAACAGTACATCTGACAAGCAAGTTTAGAAACACTATTTTTACTCAGATAATTCGGAGTCGGACGCTGAAAAATATCTAACACTTCTATTACATAGCAAAGTGTGATGTTTCTAAATTGATAGCTGCATTTCATTGGAAAATATTA